CAATGCATACAAATTAGTAGCTTTCATGTATGCCAACAGCAGTCAGGCTGAGAATCAAATCAAAGATGTACTACCTTTCACAGTAGCAGCAAAGAAACAAAATACCTAGGAATATACTTAATGAAGGAAGTGAAAGACCTCTATACAGAGAATTATTATGAAACATTGAGGAAAGAAATTGCAGAGGATGTAAACAGATATGTTGTTAAAATAGTTGTACTATCCAACCTGATTTACATACAGATTCAATGCAATTTGCATTAAAATACCAATGCTCTTTTTTGTAGATGTAGAAAAAATATTTCTGCACTTCTTACAGATCCAGAAAAGACCCTGAATAGCCAACGCAACCTTACCTAATAAGAACAAAATAGAAGGCATCACTTAAAAGTCATAAAGATAACAAATAATCATATTTAAAAAGATGCCTCACATTCTATGTTATCAGGGAAAGTCAAATTAAAATGACAATGAAATACAACTACGCAGCTATTAGAATGGCCAAAATCCAGAACACTGACCACACCAAATGCAGGCAAAAATATGGAGCAACAGAAATTCTCATTCATTGCTAATGATAGTGCAAAATGGATAGCCACTATTAGAAGATAGTTTGACAACTTCTTATACAACTAACCATCCTTTATCTTATGATTCAGTAATCACACAATCCTTGATATTTATCCAAAGGAGTTGAAAATGTTATGTCCACACAAAAATCAGCACATGGATGTTTACAGCAGTTTTGTGTATAATTGCCAAATCCAAGAGCACTCAAGAGGTCCTTCAGCATATGTATGAATATAAAAACATGTATACATATGAAAAACAACTGTAATGTATTCCAGCAATGAACTAGTACACAGTGCTAACATAAATAGAGTGTCAAACCATGGAAAAACATGTTAAATGTTTTATGCATAAATGTTAAAGGTAAAATGTTAAATGCACATCACTAAGGGAAAAAAGTCAGTCTGAAAATGCTACATGGTCTATGATTTCAATTATATAACATGCTGGAAGAGGCACAACTATAGAGACTTAAAACCTTAGTAGTGCCAAGGGTTGGATGAGTAGATGAGCAGGTTGAGCAGAGAAGAGATATAGGGCCGTGAAACTACTCTGTATGATACCATAATGATGATACATGCTATTATACACTGGTCTAAACCCACAGCAGGTACAACACCAAGAGCTAACCCTACCGTAAACTATGAGATTTGGGTGATTGGAGGTGACAATGTAGATTCATTAATTTTAAGAATCTACTATCTGGATGTTGGATGTCGAGGATGGGAGAAACTATGCATGAGTAAGGGAAAGGGTCATATAAAAATATCTGTGTCTTCCTTTCAACTTTGCTATAAACCTAATAAAATAAAATTCTTTTAAAAGTCAACAAGTTGAAAAGTTAAACTTAATAAACATATGCCTAGGAAATTATAACTTTTCAAAATACACCCAAGAAGAAATCAAGAGTCAGGCAACTATTTCAGAATTTCCAGAAAAAAAAAAAAAAACCATTAAAATATCATCAAAGACTTTCATAGACTATAAAAATTGTCCTCCCAAATTTATTCTACAAAGCCAGCATCATCCTAATGTCAACACCAAGCAAAAGACATTATGAATATAAAAAAGCAGGTATGTTCCACTTATGAATATGCAAAAACTAGAGTTAGATATTTGCAAAGCCAACTTAGCGATGTACATAAAGGGAGATTATACTCCATCACCAGATTAGGTTTATTTCCAGAGTTCAAAGATGACTAGTGTTAGAAAAATCTATCAATGTATCTCTTCAACATTATCAGACTAAAGGAAATGTATGTTTAACAAAATTCAGGATAAATTCATGATTTAAAACAAACTTCTAATGGTTAGACATATAAGAGAATATCCTAGAACTGATAAAATATATTTCAGAAATAAACGTACCAAAGTCTGGATCTAGAAAAAAGTCAACAATCCTCCTTGCATTCAGTATTGGACTTTACAACAATATAATATGCATAAGGGCTGGAAAATGTTAAATAAAACCATAATTTTAAGTGATATAAAATGCATTTTATTTTTTCAAGTTATCAAAGGATTTACACATAAACTTTTAGAAATAATAGGTGAGTCCATTAAAGTGACTGGATATATGAAAAGTATGTCAATTATATTTCTATACACCACTACCACTAGACAACTTGATCTAAAAAGAAGACACCATTTAAAATAGTCTTAAGGAATGCCACATATTGGGTGGTGCCTGTGGCTCAAAAGGGTAGGGCGCTGGCCTCATATGCCGGAGGCCTGGCCAAAACAAACAAACAAAAAGAATGCCACGTATTCAGAAATAAATCAAACAAAAAAAATACATATATATATATATATAAAA